TTATGTTAAACTTGTTAAAATGCATATTGTAAAATATGTAAAATCTGTGGTGCAGCTCTGTAAATATTCCCTTAGATAGCAAAAGCAGTAGGCTGTTACCCAAGAATGAGCAGATTGTTTTTATTATTATTATTATTATTGTTAGAAATATGCCCAGAGTATCCAGAATGTATGAAGACTGATGGTAGATGTGACAGAGGACATTTCATAGATCAGCTTTCTGCAGCAGATGCTGGTGACCTTGCAATGTAACCTGAAGAACCTGAGGTGCTTCAGGATCCTGTGTACACCTCTTTGCACTGTAAACATGTTTCTCTCACCTCTTGATAAATATTTATCCTCTCTTGGACCTGAATTCATTAATTTCTATATTTTGGGAGCAGCAAATTTGTGGCCATCAGTTCAGACCATGGGAAATCCAACCGGGCAGGTTGGAGACCAGCCCAGTGGAGTGCCCTAATTAACAGGAACATGTAATTAAAATTGAAGCAGATGTGGCTTGGGCAGGTGGTATTTCCTGAGCATTTCCTGTGTGTGCACACTGTGTGTGATGGACACAAATAACTCCTCTTTCTGCAAGTGTGGGAAATGCTGGTGCATCTGCTGAGCAGTTGGTGTGTGCAGTCCACAGCTCAGCTCTTAATGGACTGAAACGAGCTCTGAAATCCTCAACATATGAAAACATCTTTAAAACTCAGCCTGGACAAAGTTTGAGGTTTAAAAAAAATTATATTTGCATGAGAGGCTATAAATGTAATAACCCATGTGATGAATTTTCTGCATTCTTTTGTGATTATCTGCTACTAGTTATTGTTGGAGCATCATGTTAGACAAGAGAGCACTTTGATCTGATGCAGCTTTACAAAATACCAGCAGTCATTGCAACTCACAGGATCTGAGAACAGCTACTCAGCTGAGAATCAATCTGTAAAAGTTCCAAAATGGCATTTGTTGTTAGCTCCTATCTAAAATTACAGTAGTTGCTTTATAAACAATTTCGGTGAACTGGAAGAAAACAGTGGATATTTACTATCAAAATATGGGAATAAGGCAGTTAAATATCTAGCTCTGCAAAAGTGGAATTCAGCTTATTTTTTCTTACAAGGCTAGGAAGTGTAGGCCAGTTCCCAATACTCAGTACAGGTGGTAAATTTGAGAAGAAAAAAACTAACCAAACCAACCACACTTGAATTTTTACGTATTTGCGGGGAATTTTTGTCCCTGTAGATTTTTGATTGAATCTGTAGAATCCTTCTGCAATTCCAATTTTTTTTTCATGCAGTTTTATAACAATTTAACAGGATTATCTAAGAAGTAACTGTGTTATACAGTTAAATTATTCCATCCCTTGGTTGTTAGAGTGACCTGTTGTAATTTTTCAGTATCTGTTGAGTGGTGTTTCAGTGTCCCAGCTGGCTTATCTGCAATACCTTGTTCTCTCCTTTGGCAAACTGTGTCAAAAAGTGCTCTTGTAGCAAATGGCTTTCCATCAAGGCACGGCAGGTCTGTGTTCCCCATGGTTACCAAACTGAAAATGAAATTTGTATATTTTGTGTGTGTGTTCATTTATCTTTTATAATCGTCTGGTGAAAAATAGCCTTTTGATGCTGCAGAGGCTGCAGAACTCCTGGCTTTATTACAGCTAAATTTTCAACATCTTTAAAATTCAAATTTAAAATAGGTTTAGGACTTTGAATCTTCTGCAGAGGTGATTTTTCATCACATCAAAGTGGGAAATGTCTACCTTATTCAAGTGAAGTAAGGGTGAACTTTCTGGGTTTTAAGTGCAATTTTACCTTTTTTCTTTCTGAGTTCAGGAACTGAGCCTTTTGAGATGGAGGAGAATGCTCAAGAACTGAGTTCATGTCCTGTTCTGATATACATTAGTTCCATACTGATCTGTATTAGCAAAGATCAGGAATGTATGCAAATCTCTGAGAGCATCCTATAAAGGTACAGGAGTATTCAGACTGGCATTTTTACATTTATGAGTGTTGATTTTGACTTGAGACCAAATCTTCAGCCTGTGGTGGCTCCACTTCACTGGATTATGTAAATTTACAGCAACAGAGATGTGCCCATAAACTTTGTGGTTATTCCCATGAACCTGAAAAAAAATGCCTGAATAGTTTAATGTGACCAGTGGGAGTCAAAAATTTGGCTGAAGTTATCAGAGGCAGGGCTGCAAATGGAAATTGGCAACTGCATTGGTATTGGTTTCTTCTGAGCATGCAGCTGCTTGGGGAACTGAGAACATCCCCACCCCGAGGGGCTGCTCCTCCCCACTGCTGAAATCCCACTGCTGGGAGTCCCTGAGCCCTGCCAGTTCTAGGAAGGAAATAATCTGAGCATTTGAAAATAAGGACTGTGAATTGTTGATATTCTTCCAGGCTGAACTGCCAAATTTGACAATTTTCTAATTTTGACTGGGTTAAAATACTGGTTTTGCATATTTTACTGGTTTTGCATATTTTACTTGTTATGCAATTAGTATGTGAACACAATAATGAGTTCAATTACCTCTGACTTTTAAGTTCGTGCAGTCAGCATCAAAGGCAAATGCAAGTCAGCTGTTGTAATAAGTCTGGAAAAAAAATCTTTCTGGTGGTGTTCATAAGATTTATCAAAGTAGTCTAATATGTGCTGATTTATTGTAAAATAATGTATGCTTGTAATTTGCAATTTGATTTTAACATACTATAAAAACATAATAGAGTAAACAGTGAGTGGGATCATTTCTGTAACTTAATTAGATATGTTGTCACAAAAGTTTCAAAGACATGTTGATTTAATTATGAAGTGGAAAATAACTTGTATTAGTAAGGATAATAAGCAAATTGTGTCTTCCTTATTGTATCTTATTGTATCTTCCTCTTATTGTATCTTCCTCTTTCAATGCTTAATTCCTTTTATTGTGACTGAATACTTCTGATTACAATGTGCCATAACCTTATTGGCCTGGGATAAGTTCCTTTAATTATTTATTCTATTAATATTTCTGTCACCTGAGGGAAATGCAGATATTCCATTAATGATGATGTTAATCAAACAACTTTCTGTATTTCTGCACTGCCCAAGTTTATGTCATTACATTAGCAGGCACAGGAGATGAAATTGAAAACTTGTAATATACTGCAGATTGGATTAAGTCATCTGTGTGGTGTAGACTGCTTGAAGACTTATTTTGGATAATTTAAAAACATTAAATCTGCAAGACAGTTATTGTTCCTGACAGGATTCCTGAAGTCCCAACATAAGGCCAGTGTTGTAAAGATTTTGAACTTTGTCTGTGAACAGCCTCATGGGAGCAATGCAGCCTGCAATACAACATATTGCTTCAGACAAATGTATTTTATAAAAACCACATTTATACAAAATACGTTTGTTCTAAAGAAGTTTTGCATGTTGGAATAATCATTCTGCCCATGTAATGTGATGATGGCAATTAGGCATTTCAATGGAGTATGTTATTTTTGAGCCATTTCTAGGTGTAAAGGGTGTTATAATTTTACTCTCCGTCCTTTTAAGGCGTTGATGTTGTCAAGGCAGTAAATGTTCATTTTTCAAATGCTCAACCACAAGATGGGTGGAGAAGGGAGACCTTGTGCTTGACTTCCATCATAAGCTTTGCTTGTTGGGGCTCTCCTGGAGGCAGTGCAAACCCTTCTGGAAGTAGTGCCAGTACCTTTAGCCAGGAGCTTCCCACCTGCAACACTGCAGCTGGTTTTGGATATTTCAGGGGTATCTGGAAACAACCCGGTGGGATACTCAGATTCGGATTGCATTCTTAAAAATGTTTTACATTATTCAACTGTTTATTTTTGATGTGTGCAAGACAGCCAGGGTGTTTTTTGAAGGACCTTAAAGCAGTTAGGTTTAGTGGCCTTTTTGTGAATAGGAGGTTGTGGCCAAGACTTTCAGGCAGGGTCAGTATCTCTGTGCTTGGAAATAATACATCTGTGATCCTTAATTTTCTTTTCAGTCATGAGAGCTTCATAGACACAAAAAAAAAAAAAAACAAAAAAACCCAACTTCACAGAATTCAGCAATTATTCCATAAGTTTTTTATGCTGCATGTGGTTAGTTCTTTTTATTTGAGTAAGAAATTTTATTTCTGTCCTTCTTTGCTCACATGACTGCTTGCCTGCATAAGTAGGGGAAGCCTTCAGTTGCTCCTTCAGCAACCCATCCTCTGGAGTTATCATGGCAATAGTTTCAACATCTGGAATCCTTTGGCATGTGCTGGGGAGGAGGGTGGTCCTTTGGTCCCTTCGTCCTTCCCTGTGCCAGCCAATGCTGAAGGTGATGCAAGCCCAGACCAGCCTGAGTTCTCATTGGCCCATCAGTAGATACTGCCAAAATAATTCCCATGTTTGCCTTTTATGCTGGCCAAGCTGGTAGCTCAGGTAATCCTTCAGTGCAGGTAGGAAATGTGAAGAGCTTCCTCACCAGTGAGTGCATCATTTGGGGGAGCAGTTCCATTCTGCTTAGTAAATTTGCTTTCCTTGATGAATTTAAGCCAAACGTGTGATTATAACTATATAATTTTAACTAATTTCCAGGATCATTCCCTCCCTGATATCTTTGAGATGTTACTTCAGATTGGATTCTTCAAAATAGCATAATTTAAAGATTGATTAAATTATGCTATTTTAGAAATTTGATAAGCAAATAGCATATGCTATTTTAGAAATTCGATAAGCAAATGATGTGAACATTTTGAAACAGTTATTGTGATATTTCTGGAGGATTCTTTATTTGATTTGTATATGTTTCCTAGACATACATTTTTTAAATTTTTATTTCCCAAAAAGAAGTTGCCATTTGTCTCATACTTGGTAAGAAAATATTTCCAAAAAATGAAAGTTGTATGGATTTTTTGCATATTTGATGATAGGTTTTTAATAAAGCCATACACTGATGCATACGAAGGTACAAGAGTCCTGATGGGAAATAAGCTAAACCTGTGTTTACTTGTGTTTTTTGTTTTTTTTTCCCAGAGATTTGTTAGAGTTCTCTAGAGAAGATGATGCAGAGCTTGCGATGAAAATCCTGGGTCAGTGGCGGTCCCAAGGCCTGGAAGATGTCCGGCTGGTGAATTACTCCGTTCTGCTTGACCTGCCAGGCCCTTCTTCAAACACAGTAACTCTGCAAAGCAGCGGGGAATGCTTTTATCCAAGTGGACAGCGCTGCAGCAGAGACCCCAAAACACTTGACAGCCAAGACCTCCTGTACTCATACGCAGCTTATTCTGCCAAAGGAACTCTTGAGGTAACGTGGCCATTTGTCTCTGTCACTTGTGGTGGGATAGTTAGGAAATAGCAGCTTTTTGCTGAACCTGACTGGAAAATTACACATAGAATCACAGGATTATTTAGGTAGGAAAAGACCTCTAAGATCATCAAATCCCATTGAAAATATGCTGTGATGACCACCCTTAAAATAAGCATATTTATGTGAATTATGATGTAGCCAATTGTACTTATCTTAATTAACCTTTCAACCTTATATATATGAATACTTCATAGGAGATAGATAGAGATATACACTCACATATATCTATGAGTCTCATTACATAATGTCTGTAATTTTTTGTTAAGTATCTGTGTTTATGAATTGGCACATTTTCCTTGTGTGTAAAAAATGTGGAAGCTGTGTCTAGAGTTTCACTTTATCCTTGCTGATGTATGAGTACTACTGGTTTGAGGGATGCTTGTAGGAAGGATAAAACGAGGCTGGTGGGAGTGCTGGGCTAATACCTGGAGCCTCTGAATTATGGCTGTGGATCTCACATAGTTTCTTCTGTGACAATTCAGTTGACGCATCTGCTCTGTTTCCTCTTGAAAACACCGATTTGTAGTTTTATCTTACTGCAGTTACTCTAGGATGTTTTGTCAGAAAAAAGATTCTACCTATTTGGATTTGTTACTTGCCAAGTGAAATAAGATCTTGGATTATCTTGTTTTTTCCTGTATCCTGTCTTCACTGTGCGTTTTTCTTTATCTTCTGACTAATTTTTTTGAGAGCTCACAAAGGGGCTATCATTTCTGTTTACCTTCCTAGCTGAGATAGTGTAAATCTTAAAAAAAATATTTCTGAAATATAAAAATTGCAATTTCACTGCTAATTGCATTATTGCTGTTTTCCTCCTTTTAAAGATATCATATTACTCCACTGATGCTGGGGGATTTCTATCTTGGTTTCTGTCCTGTTTAAAAGACATGTTAGTTCATGGCTTAGAGCACTTACAGACTATAAGGGAACAGATTGTGAGCATCTTAATATTTAAACACGCCTACTTTCCATGCTGAGTCTTGTCAGCCTCGTTCTGGGGCTCTGTCCACTTCAAATTTGTTGCTGAGAAGCAAAATGAAATAGGCAAGAAGAGGTCCTAACTCGCATGATACATGCTTTAACTTTTCCATGTACTAATGAATGTGGTTGCCTTCTCGTATCACTTAAAAACTCCATATTTAATATTATTTTCTCATTGTAACTTAGTAAGAGTAACTGTAATCAGAGAGAGGAATGGTTGTGACCTTTGAGGTTTTATTTCATGAATGTCAATGTGGTGCTAAGAAATTCATCAGATTGAAGGAAATCCAATGTTCCGGGAAAAACCGCTGCTGTTATTCCCAGCAGCACGTGTTCCACTCTCCATTATGTTCCAGGGCAGTTTTCTCTTATGAGTTCAGCAAAAATGGGGACCATACAAACTATCCTCATTACAGGGGCTGGACCTTGGCTTTGGCAAAACTCCAACCTTGCACTGGAGCCAAAGAATGACTCTCTGCATGGCTGTACAGTCAGTTCTTTGAGATACCTCAGCACCCTTATGAGACTTGAGATGTGTTCTTCTGTTCCTCAAGAAGTCTCCCTGAAATGTCCTTAGATCCAGAGTTTTTGCCTAAAAGGGAAATTTTCCTATTTGTTTAGGCTACAGGTAAGTAGGTAGTGAGCTGACCTTCCTGACTTTCAATCCTACACACTAATCTCTACTATTTAAACTAATGGAAGTAGAAAAACTTTAAATGAGAAGTAGCAGGTGGTGGCTGTTGCTGGGCTCAGCCATCAGAAAGGGACTTGATTGCTTGCAGCGGAACTACAAGTCGCGTATTTTGGATATCCTGCAGTGGTTTGTGATTGCAAAATCATGAGGATTTTCCTGTGAACAGGTATTTTTATAACAGCTACTCATAACCTGAATAATTTTCTTTCAAATGCAGCACATCCTTAGCAGAAAATTCCTATTATGTGTCACTTAATCAGGCTAAATTGCTAATACTGCCTCGATGCTGCTGCTTCATTGTATCTCATTTGTCTGTTTGGTTTGCTAGAAGTTGAAGCAAATAAAACCATTAAGCTATTGCAGTCTGGCTACCAGCAGAGCTACAGCTCCACTTTGACGTTGACAAGGTTATTTGTAGAACAGCAAGACTCATTTTCTTTGACCACCTGTCATGTCCATTCATCATATGGCCATTGTATATGAGCCATCCAATTTGTGCTTTCTGGTAACAGTCTAAACAGCATTTGTGAGTAAAAATGTGAGCATTTGTGATCTGAAATCTACTTCAAAAACCTACTTAGTGCCATTGTGATGGATGGTGCACTTTACTACTTCTCTATATTTCATCGGGCTGTGAAAAGGTGACAGTGTTTACCCATCACAGTGACAGGCAGGGCAGCTTACAGTTCTGGAGAGGGCTGTCGAGTCAGTTTTGAAATAGATATTGCAGCAGTTATGTAAATAATATATTGTAGACTAGGTCAGCCTAAGGAAAGAATGACATACCTGAAATATATTTTTATTAAAACTTAAATATCAGCCACCTTTATAGAGCTTAAACCTTTTGTCTGCCTGATAAAAACAGGAAAACTGCTCTGGCCAACAGAGTGCACATATAAATGGAAATTACATTGCTTCAAATTTATGCATTAAAGCAAAATGCATTGTCAGGCAGTATCCAGCCAGTCTCCAAGTGAGGGTGGTGTGGTGAATCCGAATGTGCTGCTCCTGCCTCCTGGAGCTTTGGGATCCAGGAGCTGTGGGGGTGTTCTGTCCCTGGGGAACATCAGCAGGAGCTGATGAGGAGGGGCTGTGAACCCTCAAAATCTGGTGTCCCCCTTCAGTTCCACTCTGGTAAATGGTGTCAGTAGCCCATGTGAGACAGGGGTGGTGATCCCTGAGTGCACCAAAGGAGAAGCAGGGCTGTATTTGGGTTTGCAGGAGCCTGGGTGGCACTCGGGGCACTGGAGATGTGGTTTCAATCAGTTCTGCTGAGTGCAGGAGCTTCTGGAACAAACATATGTCCACAATGTTTGTCTGCTCCCTCCACTGTTTCTTTGGCAACTGGAAACAGTCCTAGCAGATGTAATTGTTAGTGTGTGGGAATAACATTCAAGGACAGCCTAATTAAAGAAAATGTAAATGGTATTTGCTTTGTATTCATGCATTTTCTGAAATTATGTTTGTGTGACCTGAAGTTTTCCTCACTTTCCTTTCACCTTCAGTTTATTCACTCTTTACTTTACAGAAGTGTTAAGGAGCTTTTGACAATCCTAAGTCTGCTTTCATACTTTGAACTGAGGTACTTGGTGTCCTCTGCTATATGGCTCTGTTTGTTTTGGAATAATGCACCAAGTCCCTGTTGGTTCCTTTGCTGCCCCTCTCTTCTGGTTTGGAGTTTTTTTCCACCCTCATGGGTGCTCTCAGCAAGCCTAGGAAATGTCATATTTCTTTCCTGGCTCTTTCATATCCTGAAAGGATTGTGTTGGTTCAGGAGCCAGGAGAGGATGCAAGAGTAGAAGTTCTTGAAAAGGAGATGCACATGCAGGCAGGGATGATGTGAGGGTTTATGGACAGAAATTAATTGTGCTCATTTCCAAGGCAGTTCTCCCAACACCTGACTATGTCTATTTTGTATTTTGGCTGCTGCTCTGTCCCTGTCCCTGACTGCTTTGACTCCTTGCTGTGTCACCTCGCTTCCCTGCCATCACGCATGTTCCCAGCTCCTGCTGATTCCTCTGCTGCAGCATCTGCTGATCTGGGGCATTTGTACTCCCCATCAGCCAGGGGTGTCTTTGCTGAGTTTTGGAGGGGCTGCAGGGAGCAGACAAGTGGGAATTCTGCCTGCCTGCCCCTACCCACACCATGCAGAAAAGATCCTCTGCATCTGCTGGTCACGTCTCAGTCTGCTCCGGTTCGTTTGTTTTGGTGACATTTTCTCAGCTAAATGAGAACCCACCGCAGAGATTAATGCAACCTGAAGCAATCTGGGATGTACAAGCCCATCTGTTAAGCTCACTCAGTCATCTTCCCACTATTCTTCAATCTTGGCAAGAGGGGAATGAGGGAAGCAGGACTCTGATTTTGATCCTCTTTCACAAGGAGTGGAGTTTGCTCACTTCTTATCCAGTATCCCATTTTCCTATTGCTGGCTTTAGGTGTCTCCTTTCCCCACCCATCCCCTTTTTTCCCAGGTTATTTGGAGGAAGATGGAAGTCTTCTTCTCTACTGCCTGTTCCTCTAACCTTTCCCACTCTCTACTCAGGATTGCAGCCCTGATTGCTGCCACTGCTGGCAGCTCTCTTTATTTCCAGCTCTGCACCAAAAGGTCTGGAGTTCCTCTGGAGAGGACAGTGCATCAGGAAGTCCTTGACCCCAAAGCTTGCTTTCATTTGATTCGGTTTCATTGTGCTGGAAATGTGATTAGTGCACTCTTATTATCTTTTCTCTTCCCTCCAGCTAATCAGTGGTAATTTCCTTAACAATATTTCAGAATTAAGATTGGTGTCAGCGGGTTGGTTTTAGAAAATTTTCAAATCTTCCCAGGTTATTTTTATCCCCAGGCAGAATTTCTAAATGAGCCTTCTGCAGCGTGCTCACTCGCACATCTTGAATTCCAAAGGCTGTGAGTGTGTTTAATTTAGATTAAATAATCACAGCATCTCTTCCTAAGTCTTTCAGTCATTTTTGATGGCACATTGGTGCAAAGTACCAAGCTAGAGGGAATCTTGATACATGTGTGCATTTAATTCTTTTAGGCATGCCAAATTTAGTTCATTATTATCTTTATTAACATTTTTAAAGATTTCCTCTCTGAAGAGACATGCACTAGCTAAAATGAATCCCTAGCAACTGAAATCTGTTTTGCAGATGGTTAGGGCTATAGGTTGAATAACACATACACACAAATGAGAAGAATCATGTGATTTTTGGTAACATTTAGAAGTTTTAGTGCAGCTTTATTTATCTTTTATTTATAGAA